TGGTTATTGTACAAGTCTGGCTCTAAATGGTCCTTTGATTTCATGGAAAACCAAAAGTCAACCTACTGTTGCATTATCTACCTGTGAAGCTGAGTGATTGGGTGTAGCTGCAACCCTACAGGAGTGTTTGTACCTAATGTAACTGTTACGAGGTATCGATGGACAAAAATATGCACAGCCAAAGGAGATGTAAACATGTTGACATAAAGTATCACTTTGTAAGGTCAACTGCGAGTGAAGGAAAAGTTACTCTGGATTATTGTTCAACAGTAGAGATGGTAGCAGATGCAATGACAAAACCTGCAATAAAAGTTAAGTTGTTCAAGTTTGAAAAGTTTATGTTTGGACATTAACCAGGTATACAGACATATAAACAGCACCGGCTGAGAAACCCTATATATGTTTTTGTTACTTAAGAGAGTCATAATATGAGAGCAAGGGGGGTGTTGACACGAAGAAAGAAAATGCTCTCAACTATGGAAACAGCCAGAGGGTTTATTTATGTTTGAGGTGTGATTTACATGTGTGGCTGTTAATAAAGTTGGCGCTCTCTCGGGGCGTGAGCGTTCATCCAAAATGGCAGAAGGCTGATGTGTGTTTATTCCTCCCTTATTATTGTCGGTGCAGTTTACCATGTCCGTCAGATTTTCCTGCGCACATTCATACTTCTGCTAACAGGGATGTTTTGCCCCTTTGCTCACGTGCTTTAACTTCACCATAAGTGTATTTGACATGCGACACATCGTGGGAATTCTGTTCTTTGAAAATAAATGTCCCTGCAGCACAAGTGTGTATACACTTCAACACAATAAGAACAGTAACAGTATATTTGTGTGTGTGCTGAATATGGGAGAAAGATTCAAAACATAACCACAGTGCTTAGAGGCTAGTGGAGCAGACCGCAGTAACCTCCCTGGACAGGATCCAGTAACCATCACAGATATCCAGGAAACAGTCTCCAGCATGAAGACTTGTCCTGATCCCCAAGGATACATCTGCACTTCTGCCATCTTTGATCATTAACTTGGAGTTGGTGAAGCAAAAATAAAGATCCTAGTATGGGGTCATTCTCACTGGAAATTTGAAGCCTAACTTAATTTGGAACCTGCCTTTGACCATATAGCAGCTAGCATAGCCTTCCTAAAGCCAGCAATGTCACACAGCCCATGTCTGAATGGACTTGCAACTAGATCAGCTATGCAGAAATAATATTGGTCTCTGTTACTTTTATGTGCTTGACAAATAATTTATAAAAAGTAAAAGTCTTGTTTTTTTTGAACACGGTACCACTTGAAGACAAAGCGTAGACACCACAGGATCCAATCAGATTGCAAAAAGTAGTTTGCACTAATGACCCGTTATATTTGTGGCTCCTCTAAGTTACAGGTTCCTGGGCTCAGCTCGTAAACAGGCTTTAGGTGATAGAAGTAATTCTTAATGGAACACAATGATTATTCTAGGAATACCTTTCTGTAAATGCTAGCTGCAGCCTTTAAATTACTTATTACTATTGATGCATCCATGTAATTTGTTATTAAAGTGCAAGTGTCGATTAGGTGTGTAAAGTAACACTGAAAAGGAAGCGGTTCTGCCAGCCTCTCACTTTCGACCACTAAGAAGCTAAATGAGTCACTAACTTTCACACAACAATAGGCTCATTCTGCCTTACAGATTTTTTTATTTTTGGCAAATTATTATGTGCGCAGTATGTAAGTCTGTTCCTCTGTAATGCTTTCTGTGTTTGTCACATTAAAAAATAGTTTTCTTGAAGTTGTAACATTATTATTCAGGA